ACCACAAGAATGAACAAAGCACATGAGCAAGGTCAGCTGTGTTCAACATTTGTGGATGGGAAGGATGGGGCCGTTGTATTTGCCTTCTGGTTTTTTAAGCTGTGAATTTTTCCCTTCTGCCTTTCAGAGGGGGCTGGTGCAGGGGGCTTGCTGTGGCCTCCTCACAGATAGAGTACAATTTTCATTAACAAATATACAAAATTCATTAACGAATGTTAAGTACTAGTGCACCTCCAGGACATGATTCCAGAATACTTCAGTTTCATCAACCTTTAAGAATCTTTCTAAAATAGATTTTTTTTAAGAAGATCACCAGAAACACTGAAGTTACCCTCAGAGCTTTAAACCAATTACCCGCAAGTTTTGTGAACTGAAGTGTTTTTTTGTATCGATTAAACCCTTGAAAACTGATTTCTCTTTGACAAATTTATTACTGTGGTTATGAATCATGAGCTACTATAGTAGTGTGGAAGTACAATATTCAGAGCTTACAACTCTTGTAACGTGACTCAGGTTTCTGACATCTTAAGTGAAATAGAAAAGCAAGCATACACCTTTTAACTTTTTAGCATAAATAATGGAGAGTTTAACATATTACAAATATTCCTCCTGGGAGCAAAATTTCAAACATGAAATAATGTGCTTGCTGATAGAGGCAGGTTCACTTAAGAGAAGAAAAAAAGTGTAGCAGAACTTGCAATGGGAACTTCTGCCCGCTTGGTCGCACGGGCACAAGGTGTCATCTTCAGGGCTGTTCCCGAAGCCCTGGCAGCTCTCGTCTTGGACATTGACACATGGTACCTGCAAGCCTTCATTGCTTGTGTCTTTTCCTTTTATGAATTACGGACAGTTACATCTACCATTGAAAAGTGCATTAGACTTTCAGAAAAGAAGAGCTAAGCAGCAGACATGACTGTATAGATATGTATACAGATATTGAGAGTTAAGGTTTTTTTCTTTGATGACAAAAGAAGCTTCAAAAGTGTAGTTTTGATTTTAGTGCCCATAAAGAAAGATACCTGAAGATTGAAACTGGATTTCTCATAATGTAGTCTGAAGCCAAGTACATGATTAAATTAAATTGAAAGAAGTAGTTTACTGGAACCAGCAAAGACTGAATGTGCTGACAAGTTAACACTTTGTTAGACAACCTGAGGTAAAAGTTCTGCATCACTATTATGGGAGGAGACTGTTTGTAGAAACAGTTTATTTTCATCTCAACAGATGAGTACTGGGGGCAAAAAAAAAAATTTTTACTCAAAAGTGACTTACACTGAAGTAGCTGTTTGTTAAGAGTATTGCTGGTTGGATATTGCCTGTGTTTTTAATGTAGGAAGATTGTTTCCTTCAGGAGAAGAACTGATCCAGGAGGACTCACATGGAGATGCTTGCACATCTCCGTGGGGTTCCTCCTGTGGCATTGGTTGTAARTTTTGAGGCAGACAAGTCTGGCTGGGTAGTTCAATCCAGAACTTGCACATCTGATAGCAAAACGTTGCACCTGCAGGGCACCTGCTAGCAGGGAACCTGCATCTCCTGTGTGGGAGCCTCTGYGGACACGAGCTTAGCCAGGAGCTCGCCTGCCTTCTGGCTGATCCAAGTGGAGTATCTGCAGTTAGGCCCCGCACTGCGGAATGCCAAGGAGAGCACACTATGGGAAGGATCATTCCAAAGTAGCCTTCTTAATATTCTTTCCTTAAGCATTTGCTGCTGGATGCTGAACTAGATAAAACCGCAGCTGACAGACGATGGTTATTTTTGGTCTTCTTTCAGCCCGTGTAAACTCATAGCAGCGCCCGAGAGCCCAAGTCATGAATGGAAACTGTATCATGCTGGGGGTCATGTAAGCACACGAGCTGCTCCTAGCCTGAAGAACAGGTAGAAGTGTCTGGAGAATCCCAGGAGGGCCGCAGCAGTGCTAAAAGGCTTTTGGCAACTGTTCTGTAGAATGCTAGATGCATAGGATGTAGGTATGTATTTTGTAGGACACAGATGGCTTCGAGGTGTAATTAAAGCCTTGATCCTTACAGCTCGCCATCTGATCTGACTGCTGGTCAGCGTCCTCCCTTCGAGCTGGCACTTCAGCAGACCTCTGAAACATCTCTATCGTGAAACTCTGTCRGTATTTAAAGGTGGCTGGTTATCTGCCCCAGTCTCGTGCATTTATTTTGCATTAGCAGAGTGAAGAGCCTGTGTTGGGTAGTTAACAAGCTAAGGGCATAAATAAAGTTGTGATGATCATTGATTCCACTAGGAGAGGAAAAATCTTGCAGTGTGAGACTGCATCAGGCACCTTGTTACATGCTCACTTTGTGCAGGTCCAGTATAATTGCATATGGATGGACAGAGCAGGTGATGTGTGGTCCAGCCAGATCCCTGAATGTCACTGTATTTTGCAGTAGAAACAATAGTTTGTGATTCCTTCTTGAAGGGCGTCACTGTCACTTGGTGCTGAAACAGTCAAGATCAGGGAATAGCTTGGTTTGACCTGTTTGCAGTACAGACAGCAGCAGCAATTTGAGTTATTCATAAGTGGTAGCATGAATGTGTAGAACAACATCAAGCCTTAAAACTGGACTCCTTAAAATATGTATAAGCATATATGCTGTGCACATGAAGTGTTGCATTTGTCCYGTTCACTTTTCTTTGGAGTTAGAGTATTAGACAGGTGGAAAGAGAGAAAAAGTGACTTGGAAGAAATTTTATCACGGAAAGTGCCACAAGCCTTGTGATGGCACCATCAAAGTTCACCAATTCCCAGCTAGAGATTGCTGTAGTGGTTGTTGGATCTGTTTATAATTAGTGGTTTTCTCCCCTTTAAAGAGAGGGAGAACTCTCCTAAATTCCACATGGCTTTGAAAGTTGGGAAGCCCAAGAACAGTGCTAGCCAGGGTCTTGGTTTTGCTTGTTTTTCCTTTCTATTAATGCTGTTGTGGTTAAAATACATATTTTCTATTTTCCAAGATGGTGGGGAAAAAAAAAGCAGGAAATAACAATGCTCGCTGATTTTATTTGTTTTCAGGTGACATCTTTGCTATTTTTCTGGGTTTTATGAGATTCCTGAAAGTTATTAGTGATCGTCTATGCAGTTTGAGTGGTTTTAAGTATCTTTTCTGTTGTGCATTTTCACCTCCTGGGRAAGGAGAGATCTTGAAGTTTTTTGGAACTTGGGAAGTTTCTTTTTTCTTTACAGTCAATATTCACCAAATTTTCTCTAGGTATTTTTTAATAAAAACCAATAAAAAATAAATGCAGCATAAAAGAAGGAGATACATCCTGGATTTTTGATTTGTTAGGTATTTAAAAACAAGGTCAGAGAGGAGTTAATAAATTTCTGGCTTTGTTTTGAAAAAGATTTTATTTCACTAATTTTAGGGTTTTTTTGTTTTTGAAGTCTGGTACCTGAAGATATATTTTGAATCAGTCACTTGGATTTAAATTCACATCTGTGCCTGTACATCTGTGTTCTACTAAGTCCTTTTATGAYACAATGGGAAATCTCTATTTGTAGATTCAAGGAGCATTCAAAGCATCACTGGCTACGTGCATGAGAGTGAACATTTTGTTTAGTCCCTGTAACAAACTAATTACTGTTTAAAAATTGATTATATTTGGAGATCAGCGTGAGTTTGCTGAAGTGGTCTATGAAATGCTTTCCTTTATCCTTTTTTCTTTTTTCTTTCTTTYTTTTTTTTTTTTTTTTCCTGCAGCTGAGAACTCTCTCTATCTTTCTTTCTGTTTTCCTTCCAGCCTAGCAAAACTTCTTTTCTACTGATCTTTTTCTAAAGACTCTACCGCTGGAATATATAATTTTCATTTTGACTTTCATTGTTGCCATTAAGTGGCTAGCTGTACAGTTTATAATATGTATTTCTAATTGCCTCTGCAAGAGGTTAACTGTGCAAGTCATAGAAAATGAACACAAATTAACATTACCTAGATTACCTTTCCTTGAAGAAAGCCTCTGAGATTTTGTTGATTTTACTGTTTATGGGCAGTGAAACTCCTAAAGATGTTTTGGTATGAAACTTCCCATAGTGTTTTATCTTACGTATCTACTACYGTGTAATGTTCCTCAGTTTAAAAAAAAAATCTTCTATGGCCATAAGYGCAGGGGTCTAACCTGTTGTGGAAGAAATATGATGGCAGTTTAACTTTTCCTATTTATTTTTCCAAAACTGTAGAGCAGCAGTCTGGATGTTTTTGTATCATTTTTAATAAATATCTTTAATAAAAATGGAACAAAACAAATACTAGCTCTCCTAAAAATGCATTCAATATTTTTTTAACAGAATAAATAGAAGTTTAATCCATCTTCGTTATTTAGAGCAATGCAAAGACTTTAGTGCAGCTTTTGTACCAAAATGTTGTGAAATGCTGGTTGTATAGAAGGGAGTTTCCAATTGTTCCCTGAACTCTGCAGTCAGTGATAACAAAAGCAGCACAGTGTGAGATCAAATGTAACAAAAATGTGATGTTACAATAAAGTGCCATTATGCCCTGAACAATACTGCTTTTAAAAATGAGKGTTTTATCTGTTGACTTTCCCATCTGCCTTTGAACARCTGTTTTCCCCTATTTCTTTATCACCTTCGTCTTCCCCTTTTAAATCCTATTCACATTCCTCTTGGTTACACTGCCCTGTGTTTTACTCCTCTTCCATACAGCAAGGAGATGAATTCTGTGTTAATAAGTCAACAAATATCCCTCATCTTCCTAAAACTGAAGGTTGACCAGCCTAGGTGCCTATATCAGTTACAGTGGACAAGGTTGTATTCTACTCTCTTGCAGAATTTCAGTAGCCTAAATGATCATTTCTGCATGTCGTCTCTGAAGGCTTCTTTCCGTCTATTACACATACATGTTGTTTGTGCATTATAAATGCACACCTGCATTATAAATACTATAATTGAAAGATCTTTTTGGTGCTTTATTTAAAACAAACAAACAAACAAACAAAACCCTCGCTGGAATAAATGTTGTTCTTTTTCTCGTTACAGGATTTAACAACTCTGAACGCATGTGTGACAAAGAGTTCATCATCCGCAGAGCAGCCACTAACCGTGTCCTGAACGTCCTGCGGCACTGGGTCTCSAAGCACTCGCAGGTATTTTGTGCTCCGCTCTTGTTCCCTCTCTGTGACACTGGTCTGTAGAAGGAGGTGAGCTGGCTTCAGTCCACTCATGGGTTTCGTAACACTTTGGTCCTACCCAAACATATTATGAACTGGCGGTGCTGTGTAATGTGCAGAGTTCAAAATGCTTGAAAAGTCAGTGCTGTAATAATAATAAGGGAGAAATGACTGTTAAAACTCACTGTTTTGTAAGTAGAGAATCCTTCATCTAGCTTTGCAATATTCTATGAAAATATCCAATATTTTGTTTGACTGTTTTACTGCATATTGATATATGCAGTGTGTGTATACATATATATATATATACACACACACATACACACATACGTATTTATATATAATAGAAATATTATATAATATAAAAGAAATGCACTAAAGAACAGCTAGATTGCAGGTGCATTTTTTGTAAGAAATTGAGCCACACATTCAGTTCGGAAGTTAAGTTCAGAGTGCAGTCCTATCTATTCACATTCTAGTTGTGTTCCATTAGTCTGGTATTCTGACTGAAAGTATATAGTGCTTCACAACACCTGGAGTTTCAGTGGAAGGAAAATAAGTCCATAATCCAATCACGTTGCTTTAACTGAAGCCTGTGCTTACATACGTGTATATTTACTATGGATCATGCGGAAAAAAGAAGCATCACTCCTCAATGGAGGTTCCCTCTACAACCCATCGCAAGCCTGTGGGTATGTTAGGTACTCGTGAAACTGTTGACAGAGGGGAACGAGAATCTTAGTAGCCGGCAGGATTTCTTGTATAACAGCATCACACTAGATGAAATGAATGGGTTTAGATTTTGGTATGCATGTAGAAAACTACCAGGTACGTTGCTCAAAAGAATGAAAGAAAGAGAGAGAGAGAACTATGGAAACACATGAAGGATTTCTCCAGATCTTGGATAAATAGTCCTTCATGGCAGTTATAGACTGCTTAGTCTGTCCTTGCTCATACTGAGTAAAACTTCATCTGGAAGCTGTTCTATTGCACAGCTGCCTGCGACTCCCACCGTGTCAAACTCGGTTCCTTTATTTCCATGAAATGGATTTAATTTTCGTAGAAGTTAAGTTTGCTGGACAGTGCAGCCAGTAAGAATGCTTAAGTGGGACAGTTTGTTGCATTTGAAAAGCTAGCAGCTCAGCAGAGATTAATAAAATCTCTTTGTATTATGGGAGTGCTTTTGAATTATTGCTAACAACCTTGAGAATTTAGCTATACTGGTAGATATCCCATGTTCTCTCTGGCTGAATGTGGTGTAGCATTGCATGTTAAAATCTTGAGCTGTAGTGGAGCGGCAGAAGTCTTTTATTGCTGTTCTATATTAGAGCAGTGCTTTTTACCCAGGTTCTGTGTCTCTGCTACAAATATTTAATAGTACTGTGCACTGAGTTAACAATTTATCCCAATTGAAAGATTGTYAATTGATGTAGTTGTGAAAATGCTGGGAATCATCAAACTTCTCTACAACTAGTTAAACCAAAGTTTGTTTTTGGACTGATCGTGGTTGTGTTGGGATGATTCTGTAGCATAAACACAAATCAGCTCTAAAGAATAGAAGCATGTTCTTTTTGCCAAAACACTGGTTTCTGTGTTTCCATTTCAAGAGTTCTCATGCTGTGCAAAAATATATAGTACTGCTCTGCATACCTTTGCACATATTAATACCTATTGCTCTACAATTTTTTATTGGGAAAAAGGTTCAGGGAATGGCATAAGGAGATGGAATCATTTCAAATCCAAACTACATTTTTAAAGCTATTATTCACAGTCACTCACTGCCTTTTATGTTTTCCATGGCAAGGGTGGCAAATTTTAATTCTCTGCATCTCTTAATGTAGTATTCCAATATAGCAAATATTTTTACATGGAAGAGCTTTAGCAGGGAAAGCAGTGAACGCTACAGCAGCAGAACGTGTAATCAGCTTTTTGCATTGTTTACTTGGGAGACTAGGGACAGAGGAAGGACACAAGGCCAAAACAAAACAGAAATGACTGACTATTTTCTGCCAAAATGGAACCAGGACTGCTATTAGGAAGCAAGTGAAGAATTACTGTCTGGCCAAACAGTAAAAAGCGTTGGCAATTAAGGTCTATAGTCCTGAGAGAGCAATAGCTTAGAGCCTTATTTTACAATAACAATGCAAACTGCAAACCAGCGAACCCTCAGCTACTAGTGTTTGGGGGAAGAAATGCTTATTAGATTCCCAAAATGGCAGTGTATAATTCAGTGAGATCAAAAAAACCTGTCTAAAACTTTGTTGCCTTTTGTGGTGATTATATAATTCTCTGACCACTCAATGCATCTGATGTTTTTCAGATTCATCAGATATCCATCAAGTGGAGGTTTAAAAATTTTAAAGAAAAAAAGAATTAAAATAACTTTAAAATGTTAACAGAATAAGTTGATATTTGCAAATATTTCACTCCATTTAGTTTTGAGCTTTTCCTTACTCTTTCTGCAAGCATTCCCAACACCAAATAGGCAATTTCTCTCCTTTGTGGGAGCAGCTTTTCTCCCTCTCCTCTAGAATTTCCTCCTCTTTATGTGCCTGAGGTTCCTGTGGTCAATACTAGCCTATGCCACTGTAAGAGGTGACCTACTATATGTGCTTTCTTTTTTTTTGTGAAAATTCAATTTCCTTATTAGTAGCTTAAAAGAGAAGGAAAAGCATTATGTGGGTAATATGTGGAGCTTTGGTGAGTTCTTTTTAGGAGTATGGACACTAACCTGTGTTACAAGCTTCGTGCTGCATAAGAGTAGCTCTGTTCTAGAAGCAATCAATTACCTGCAAGTTATTTATCTGCCTAAATTATCACAGTGTTCTAGTGCCCAGAGTATGCAAGGTGGTAAACAGACACGGAAGAGTGTGCAGGCTGTGTGCAGAAACATTTATAATGTAAAGAGACTATTAAAAACATATATCATCCAATTGCTTTTATTCCCTAAACCTCATCTCTTCTTTTTGAGTCCCTCGTGCACACTTCAGAGTGTGCAAGTGGCAAAGTATGTTTACTTTGCTTGACATGGACACTATTTAATATTGTAAYCTTGTCTGTGGGCAGAAAGCACAATCATTAAAATTAACAGTTGAGCCTATTCAGTTAGAATGCTCATTAATAAAGCAGCTTTGTTATCTTGAAATCACACAAAATAAAGCTTAAGAAAGGGATCCTTCATTATTTTTAAAACTCGGGTCRTACACTCTTGGGGCCTCTCTTAAATTCTTTGCAAGTGTGTATYGGCAATGCCACATCTGCAGCCCTTTGCAGGAGACAGAAGGAACTAATTAATGTCTGCAGGAGCTCTGAAGGCGCAGATGCGAGTTTGGAAAAAACACTCATGAGCACAAYGTGACACATACTTCTTGTTTTTACCGCACAGAGCAAAACGGATCGACCTACATTGCTAATTATTTATTTGTGCATGAAAGATAAATCAATCAGGTTTTCCTGGGTTTTATTTATATTTTTTCTTCTCATTCTTTCCCTTCTCTTTTTACCCTGTTCCTTTCTGTGTTACTCAGCYAGCTACAAGCCAACAAAGCTTTTTTTTTTTTTTAACACAAAATAACGGCAGAATAATCATGTTTGCATTCTGTTTGTAAAATGTGATTGAGAGGAACAGCGTAGGATTCTCCCATTGTAAACAATGGAAACACAAATGCTGAGGCAGACACTGAGAGCGAAGGCAAGAGCTTTGCTGACTTGATGAGAAGGAAAAGGGCTTSTGAGGACAAAACTCCCACTGACTCCTGTCAGAGAAGGAAAAAAATAGGAAGGGAAAAGGAGGCAGAGGAGAGAATCTTTCTATGATTTTCATTATCCTACTGAAGACTTGCAGTCTTATTTTCTTTGATAACAGCATTGCTTTGGGGCTTTTTTTTTTTTTTTTTTTTTTTTTTTTTTTTTTTTTTTTTTTTTTTTTTTTTTTTTGTTCTTTGTCTAAACACTTTTTACAAAATGAAGCTTTTCTAGGCTAAGCTTCTGCAGGTTTCCCAGGTCTCATTGACAGCCAGGTGCCTGCTTCCATTGGCTTCTTTGAAGATCCCTGTTGAAATGAATAGGCAAATCCTAGCTCTAAATGACTGCCAGATAGCGTCAGTGGGTTAGAAAGTTACTGCAAACTCTGGGAAGCAGACCAAAACTTGAATTTTGACCGTAGGTCATGACGTGGTGCCTGATTCAGCTCATGATTTGGTGCCTCATTCCTCATTTGCTTCAGCTGTGAGAAAAATCTGCTGCAAAGCCTTTTCTTGTTTGTGCTGGCTAAGCTGTGCTGGCTTTTCAACAGAAGGTTTGGGGGATATAGTTATTGATACCACCTAGTGATTAGGTAGCTGTACACAGAGATTTAGCTAAGCAGTTAGGCAGTTGTAGTGTATGTGTGCACATGGATCAGCCAATTACGTTTTGTTTTCAATACACTGCAACATATGAGCCCCGCTTTGCTCAGGTTTATAAGTATAAAGTCATGGATATAATGCCTGGCAAAGCTACGGCATATTAATTGTAACAATTCAGACTTAGACCATACTTGACATATGATAGCAAGAAATGTTKTGTATTAGCTATTTTTCAGATGATCCTCCAGAACCTGCAACCTCTAACTTGAAGCAGAACAGAGATTTGTAGGGTTATTTCTGGCATGAACACATACATCAAAGCAAACTGAGTTGTAAGAGAGTTTTCCACAGAACRCTCCCCCAGAGCGTGGGCACCGTTCAGTGCACATGCTAACGCACCCTTAGTCACCGAGGAAGGAACTCGYGTTTGCATAAACTTAGGTCATTTACAGAATAAAGCTATGTGTTCCATAGTAATGCACTTAACTGTGGGGATGCTGTGTCCGAAGCGTGCGGGTTTGATATTCCCTGGCCCTTGGGGAGCGTGAGTCACCCCTGCGCGCTGGCTCAGCGTGCAGACAGGCAGACTAATTAGAGGTGCCCTGCGCTCCTGCTGCCGGAGCCTGACAGAACCGCCCTTACCGAGCTCCTTTGGCAGGGCCCTTAAATGTATAAAGGCCCAGAACTCGGGGCCAGAGATGTCATGTTTCTTCTCTGTGTTGAAAACTGTTCTCTGACAATGCCTAGTGGCCACGCTGTTTGGAGCTTTCTAGGTACTACCGGGTTATACAGTGCCTGGATAATAAAAAAAAGGGTTTGTATGGTGTGGGATGATAATTACTCAGGCATGTTATTAATATAGCTTGTACTTTTAAGCTAATTGTATTCCATCAGGAATGACAGGCTAAAACGGATGCTTTAGAAGCAGGCCTGGCGTTCTCCTCAAATGATTATTCTTTCTTCACGCTTGAAAATGAATGAAGAATCGTTCTTTGCTTGCTTTTTGAAATAAACCTTTTGTTTCTTTTTCAAGCATGCAAATATCTTGGAGCAGCCAAATTTATGCAAATTTCCCTCAGCACAAGCATATATGATAGTCCTAGTGTAATTTTATGCTAGAAAATGAAATATTATTGTAGAGGACTACATCACTGGAGTAGTTTCAGTTAATAGTGATCAAGTGTGATCTTCCCTGCTTTCGTTGAAATGACTATGGATTTGTACTTTGGCATGAGAACAGATATATATGTAAAAAAAAAAATATATATATATATATATAAAGATTGTAGGCCATCTATTTTAAAACATGCCAACTTCCTTGGAAACAATGATTCAGTAATCCCTCTGCCCCCCTGGATATCTCATATTCTGGGCTTTCAGAAGGGCTTTATCTTTAGCCCTTCACTCCAGAGGAATCAGTTACAGCCGGTWGCAATGCTAGTCTGCCGTAGTGTCTCTGGCCATCTGCTATCTCCAGGTTGCTTCTGCAGCTGGGGGCAAAGGAAAACGGGTCTGCACACCCATATCTCTGCTTCATCTGTGTACTCAGAGAGACAACCAAAGGCTGACTCTAGCGTTGCTTGCAGTTTTCTCTCCCTTTCATATCTGATATTTAAAACCTTCATTAGATTCTTTTTCTTTCTCTTACTGATTAAGAATTCTTCCTGCATCTCTGTCTCAGCATTTTCTCTTCCAGGTGCCAAGCTTCAAAACTTTCCTGTCTTAATCCCTGTTTGTGAACATCCCTCTGAGCTCTGTCTTTGCCTAGCATTCCTTCCTACTTGGTGTCTTTCTGGTTACTTCATCTTCCATTTCAGAACTGTCACCACTTTTATTCTTTCCACACAGTTCTGTTTTCAATCCTTTTACTTCTCCATATTTCCATCCAACAGATGTGTCTTCAATTTCACTTGTTTGTAGCTTATGGAGTGCAAAATCCTTACCACATAGTTACTCACAGGATGAAGAGACAGGCTAGGAAGAGATTTCAGTTCGTCGAATCTTGTTGCTTACAGTGATATTACCAACTGCATTTGTGAGCATCTGTGGAATACGATGGGCTATATGTGCCAAAGTTGGGAATCTTCCAAAGCAACTGAATTGGAAACCAGGCAGCTTGCTTTCTTCCCTGCCCGGAAAAAAAGCTTCCAGCTTGGAAGGCATTCTAGGTCACTTGATTAGAACTGTCCCTCAGCCCAACATGAGCACGTAGGAGCCTTGGATGTGACGCTCCAGCGGAGGGCCCGTTCCACCAAGTCGTTCACACTTGCCACGGCTTCTGGAAGAACTTTCCAGTCTTGAATCTCCTCTGAGCATAATGTTACGGAACAGGAAACTAGAAGTAAAAAAAAAGGAGAAGCTAATAACATGATTATGTATTCAGCAAAGACAGTCAGGAGTGAGTCGTGTTACATTTATCTTGACAAATTGTACTGCTCCTTCTCCTCTTCACATGGCGATCACAAGACTCTGAGGCCAGGCTGCCAATAGTCTTTTTTGCCTTATTAACAGATGCCTGAGGAATAGTTAGAAAATGGACTTTATTTTTGAGAGCTGAACGATGGTGAAAATATTTTTTCGTAAAGCATGTAGTGTTATGTTGAACTTGTGTAACACAATTCAGCAAAAGGATTCTCTGTAGAATTTTATTACCAATTCTCCATATAGATTTTTTTTTCTCCTGTCTCTGCCTCTTCTCCCTTTCTCTCTGTGTAGTCTTTATCACAGATGTACCCAAATGTTTTCAAAAATATATCAAATTCTCAGGTCCAGGTTTATCTGCCTTCTGTTTGTGTTATTCATATTGTTTGAAAGAACAACGTTTACTCTCCGGAAGGGTTGAAGAAAGAAAGAAGGGAGGAAAATGAGTTTGTGGTTTCAGTGAGCCCGTGTTGAAAGTTTGGAATTTTATAATCTCTATCTGTTCTGTATAATATTTTCTATGAAAAACACCTGTAGTAAATCTGTACACCCAACCAGAACAGCTAACTGTCCTTTTTCTTGCTTCCTGCCGTCCTTTTTTGCACTCCATTTTTTTTGTGGCTGGTGATTCCAAATCTATCTCCCCCTCTTTCTTTTTTTTCTGACTCACTTGAATAGATTTCTTTTGTCCAATATATGAGGCACTTCTTATGCTCCTGCACATCTTCTGCTCCTTCTTGGCAAGAGAATACACATCCAAATTCTAAAGAAGCCACTGATGTATTGGCTGAAGAATAGTAGAACGTATTAAAGGGTGGTAAAATAGATTAAAATGTCACAGGAATCATCCAAGATTATTTTTAATATAAAAAAAWTTATTTTTAATATATTTTCAGAAATATATATTATAATGCATAGATGTAATAGGTATAAATATATTTGGAAATGGTACTTAGCGATTTTGTGTTGTAATTTTACTAGTGCTCATTTTGTGTTGTAATTTTAATGTTTAGCTTTCTGCATAGATAGAAGTACGTGAAATGACCTGTCTGGACTTTTTATGTGTATACTTTATTGCTCATCACACTGGCATCTCAACACCCCACAGATCATCAACTTCAACAGAAAAATAGATCTCTCCCATTCTGTTTTTTTTYCCATTTTTATTGCATTCTGTTTTTTTTCTTTTTCATCCTTTTCCTCCCTACAAATTATAAGGAACAGCTAGCTCGCTGTTATGAAAAAGAAGATTTCCAGGCACAMAAAAAAGAGATGTTGTGCAGAGGTTGCCTGTATATAGGGGGCTGTGCAGTGGGGTGACATCTTCAAGTTTGGGATGAAACTGGGTTGGAAGTATTGCCTACAGATTCTTCATTCATACAAACCAATACCTCCCCTAGTTATAATCTCTGATCAGTTTGTATCATCTATGATGATCAAGGATCTGGGATTTCTGGTTATCTGAGACTAGAAAAATGGGTTTTTCCACTCTGAAGTACCTTCCAAAGCCAGGGGAAGTGAAGCAAAAGCTAGTCTAATCTTAAGAGCTAGGTGTTCATACAGTTGGCCACCAAAAGAAGAGCAATTTAAGCAGCAATTACAGCATATTTTGCTCTTTGCATGTATTATATGCGAAAACCGGGAGTGTGCCTGATTTTTGTTGAATCTGATATTCAGACACAAGGCTTTGCCATCCTGATTCATAAATGGAATAAAAAGAGACTAKTTTTTTTAATAGGTACTGTAATTTTAGCTGTAAGCCTTTTGGAAAAATACCTTTTAGAGAAAATAATCAACTGATTATGGTTTTAAAAACCTATTTGCAGATGTTTTCTTTGATCCTGTKGTTGTGATCTGCCAATTTAGAGTGACAAATTAGAACTTTACCCAACATACTAAATGAGGATGTTAGATTTGTCAGTTCTTGAATAACTTTTCTGCTTAGGGTTGATATTTTTGTAGCGTGACTACTAAAGATCCTTTGCATGTCTGGCTTCTCTTACACAGTGGTTGCCATTCAGCTGCAGAAAAGAAAATACAACTCTTCATTACGCTGGTTGCTGAAAGCTTAGGGGGATTCACTAAAATCATGATCACTTGGAAGTCCATTGCAGCAAAAAGGGCTGTAACTGGCTCTTTGGAAAATGGCATATTCAGCTCCAACACAAAGGTGCCAACATTKCCCAATTTCCGTAACTTTGTGCTTCCTGTTCCCATGGAAACAAGTGGCGGATTGACACAAATATGGTAACAGACTTGCTTGCAAGTAACTCTGTATTATAAAGTAGGAAGATCTTCACTCATTCGCTGTATCTGTAAATTTTGGGTTTAGTTTTCTTATCCAAATTCTGGCTTTATGCTAAATGCGGACATTTTTAGAGTCTACTTCAGGACTTACTCGTAAGTTCATACCTTAATGTTCATATATTGTTCTATTTTTGAAATTCTGCAATATCAGATATAAATGGAGATAGTTGGTGCACGTTCCTGTTTTCAGATTGCAGTCCTGTGTAAGAGACACCAACCTGCCTGAGAATGAATTAAAGTGCTGAAATGCTTTAGCATGGTGCTGTCAAGCGCTAGGCTGATTTATTGAGCTTATTAGGCTGAGTACTTCACTAGGTGGAACAAAAGGTAGACCTTTCCCAAAAGGTGAGTTTCAGATTAAAAATCAGCGATGCAGACAGAGAAATTGAGAAACTCCACGAAACAGGGGGAAAAAAACTGTGGCCAACCTTGTGAGGTAATAGTCTCAACGCAGTAGCCGAACTGTTCTCGAGTTTTCATAGTGATCAGAGAGAAGATCAAGTATTTTGTGGATATTTGTGAGATGCTCTTCATACTTCAAAAGAGAAGAGTTAAGTGATTTGCACGGCTCCACATAGGAAATAAAGGTGAAAACATAGGATAACCTGTATTCTTTCAGGCTCCCTGCTTTGTGTCCTGTTCACAGTAAGAAATCTTCAGTTTCTCTGAGCATTTTCATAGCTAATAGAAAAGAAAAAGGAAAGAAAATCACAGAAATATATCTGTTAAATTACTTGATCAACATTTTTTAAAGTAAAATGAAATAAAATTCTTTGCTTTTGTAGGATTTTGACTTCAACAATGAGCTGAAAATGAATGTGTTAAATTTGCTGGAGGAAGTTTTGAGAGACCCGGACCTTCTACCACAAGAAAGGAAAGCTACCGCAAATATTTTGAGGTAAACAGATTTCCACTTATTTACTGGATTTGTAAACTATGTCCTGTTAAAAAGATATGGTGGTATACAGTATAGAAGGTAGTATACCTTCTAGGTATACTACCTAGATGTAGATACTAGAAGGTAGTATACAGTATAGAAGTCATAGAATTTGTTTTTTTTATCTAGAGTGCTTAATTTTGCAGGATTATTTTGTACTTCATTAACTATAAAATAGACGAGATGTGGAATTCTTCATCCAATAGCAAAAAAATGAGCAGCTTTCAGATAAATTTAAATTTATAATGATCATGGTTAAGAATAAAGCAACTTCATATAACGGAAACCAAAGAATGATTTRGGTATCAGCAGAATTAGCAAGGTACTGTATTTACAGTGTGCTAAAATTCATTGGAATTTGGCAATTCTAGAAAACCATCAAACGTCAAATTATGTTGTATGCTTTGTTTATAAATACAACTCTTCAGAATTTCACTTCAGAACATTTGCCAGCCATGGGTTCATTCTTTGTGCAATGGAAAATAAAAGCTCCCTGTGGCAGGAAGGTTGGACTAGATGATCTCTAGAGGTCCCTTCCAACCTTAAATATTCTGTGAATCTGTGTGAATCTGTTAAAGTTACAAAACCTCTTAGGAGAGTATCCCTGCCTCAGGGGTGAGCAATCTGCTCTGCTAAGCCTCCTATGTCATGACATAGTATTAAGACCATACTCATACTTGCCATTTCCTCTGTGTTGACAGCATTGTCATTACTGTGGGACAAAATGAAAGGTYTGAAAGTTTCTGCAGAGCTAGCAGTATTGCTTGCTGAAGGTTAAACACTTTGGTACTTAGAGGTGGTATTACATAGTTGATTGCCTGATCATACCAAGAGATGAATCTTTATATGCATTTATAAGTGAGAATAATTCCTACCAGTGAGTGTGAGTATTTTACAGCCAAGTATTTGATTTTCACTTATAATGTTTTACATTAATAAGGAGCAATAAAGAATTAAGACTAGCTGGTGGGTAAAACAAGATACAATTTGAAAGCAGAGATTAATAAATGACATGCTGTGCTGGTATGTTTGTAAATATTCTGCTGGAAAGAGAACAAGGGTGCAATCATGCAATTGTCCGAATTGTCTAAGAACACTTGAGAGATATTTATATGAAAAAAATATCAGAAAAGTGAGGGGAAATTGTACACCTGAGGGGGGGAAAGTCAAATAAAGGATAAGGAACAAATTCACACAGGTAAGATCTTAAAATGAATCCTTCATGTTGATGGAACTCTACTTAACTTTTTCCATAAGCCTATTTTTTTAACTAATAATGTAGTCGTGTGCTATTATTAAAAGTAAAAAAAAAAAAAAAAAAACCCTATCTATATATATATAGCACATCCTTGGAAGAAACAGCAAGCGAGAAGAGCCTAACATGGGAGAAAAAAACAATTGCATGTATTGTTGCATAATGGGTTTTAATAATATGTCTGATAGCAAATGTTATGTCAGGTTGCTCCTAGTGAGGAAAATTACCTTAAGACCTGTAGTTTTTTTTTTTTTTTTTTAAAAAGTGTCCAAAAGAAATATATTTATTCTTGGAAGAGAAATGGGATAGATTTGTATGTCTTTAAACATAAAAGTTTATGCATTTAGTGTAGAAACTATTAATTATTACATCCGAAATGGGACATCAACAATTATGTGCAAATGGGAGTAATAATGTGACTTACTCCGTTATATGAGCATTTTTTTACTACTACTGGTATCTTTGTTTTTCCACTTGCTGACTGACTGTTGTATATATGTTCTTTTTCTTCAAACTGAAGTATGAAATCAAAGCCTTAGCTTGGCTAGTGGTAGTTATCAACAAGACTGCTTTACTAGCCGTATATATTTTGACTATTTCCATAATACCTATTTAAAGTCCAATAAATGGTGATGACACGGTATTGTTGTTCCAAGGGTTTGAACAAGCTTTGAAGCTAGTAGTAGCTGAAAGTACTCCTGAATATATTCTGTATTTTATTATTTATGTATTTAGGCTACTTATTTATCTAGACTGTTCATAAACTTTCAGACAGAAGGTGTTATATAAGTATYACTTTCATAATTTAAATTATTGATCATTGCTAAGCTGTACTTAATAGAATAATGGGAATTTCTAAGTTAAAGGTGTTATCACATACAACTGCCTCAAGGTTTTATACTGAGCAAACTGTAATTTGAAGTTCCTGAGGTCTCTTTCCGGCCACACAGGAGGTGACTATTTGCTAGATATGTCAAATTTCTTAAGCATTATCTGATTAGGAAAAAATCAATTCTGTAGGGAACTGAGCTGTGAGAAAAAGAATATTGGATCAATTTTGCTTGTGGCCAAAATCATTCAACCAGGATGAAATACAAGGATAGGTCATGTGTCTCACTCCTTCAGTGGAAGGAGGAGATCTGTTAAATCACCTCAGAAAAATGGGTTGTCTATCAAGTAAGAGCAATTTCCAAACTTTCAGAAAGCACTGTTGTACTCCCAAAGATGTATTTGCAACAAGACTATATTGCAAGAAAAAAACAGTAGAATTTCAGAGGTAATCTGTAATTGAATGAACTTTTGTGTGCCTGATTGTGGTGCAATACTTGTAAAATAAGCATGAGCATTCCTTTCCTCTTCCACAAGCCTTCACTTTTATTACATATTATTAAAATTACAGTACATACTAATGTAAAAAAAAAAAAAAGATGCATTTCTTCACTGGTCCTAAGCAATGACCTGTTGTCCCATATAATGTTGTGAGCACCCACACACTGGCTGATTCTGGAGGTGCAATCTCAGACACAATCTCAGCTGCTGGAGCAGCAAGACAGGACTTCTGGCTCTCAGCTTGTTGGTGGATTCAGAGGTGGGACTTTTTTTCCACCAGTCAGCCCTTCCTATAGGTTTTAGTTTCCCTGTGTCTATGTTCTCATAGGCTGCTCTAAGCTCCACAAAGGAGAGGAACTCAGAGTGAACATAGGTAGTAAGTATTTCTTCTTGCACACTCTGTCTTYGCACGGATTTTCATGACTGCACTTTCTGGAAAGTTTTGAGATTTGAGCCTCTGTACAAGCATATTCCACAGACTGTCTCCTTGAAGCTTGTTGAATACTAATGTCTCTCTGAAACTGCCACAGCCGTTGTGTGTATGCCTCTATACGTGCATATAAATTTCTTGGGAAATCAGCCCCTTTCAAATCATCTTTGTTAGCAGAGATTAGAGGAGGAGGCAAGGCAGGTTTATATTCTGAAAATATTATGGTCAGCTCTGGGAAAGACTCAGTATAGAAACTGAATGGCAGAGGCAGTGTTTATGGGAGATGCTGAACTAGCTCCTTTGTCATCACATGGAACAGATGGCATTTCTCATATGATGAGATTTTTGTTCAATGGACTGACAGGGTATCAAGGCTTCTTTTTATTCAGTATTTTTCCTGAAAGCTAGACAAGCCTCCTAAAGTATGTTTTGTTTGAGATTTGGTCAGCCCTATTTAGTAAAATCTAAAATCTAGATAAAAATTCCGACACTGAGGCAGAAACAGGCTCCAAACACTGAACTGTGGAGTCTTACAGTTCAAATTGAAYTGAAGCGAATAACCTTGGCTCATGAATAGTCCCACCTGGGAAAAAAACAAATGGTTCAAGAAAGGTTTTCCACTCCTGCTTCCTCAGAATAGATGTAAATGGAATCCAAGGATTTGCACAGGCGTTTGATGCATGCCCAATTTTCTATCGTGTATGAGCTCACTAGGCAATACGCTTCAGCTTATAGAACTGACACCGGCTTTTAAAATACTTTATAAGCAGTAAGAGAATAAGGAGAGAGCTAGCTTGGGATGCCTTTTTTTTTTCCTGCTAGAAAGTACTTTTAATATTTGGGCTGTTCAAACGTGAGGAATAGTTTAAATGAAAGTTGAATGAAAGAAACAGCTCTGAGGATAGCTCATAACTCTAAGAACTTGGAGGTTATTTCAAATATAGTCACTTCATGTGTAAGGCTGATCCCAGAGGTGGTACTCCCTTCAGTCCTCACTGTGCGGTGAACTGTTTCCTTGCCCTTTCCCTTCTCTCATACCACTTTTCACCTGGATCTGAGCTTCTTTCCTGGTTTGCAGGAGGCTGTTAGGGGAGTCCAGTGAGGACTGCTCAAGCAGAAGTGAGAAGCTGGCTGCGTCTTCCTTGTCTTCTGTGGAAAGAGAGTACCCTAGGGCCAGTAACAGCACAGGTTGAAGAGGAAACTACTACTGATGCTGTCAGAATGTAATTTTATGTAGTTCAGAGAAATGTACTTCTCTCTGAAGATATAATCTTAGAGCATATAAAAGGAGAAACTTTTTCATAAAAATATTATATTAGAGGAAAAGTTCCTGTTTAGGTGAGGGATGCTAAATGAATTGAGGAAATATAAGACACATGCCATTATGAGAGCATCAGGGAGCAAAAGATGGGCAAGTATTAGGAAAAGAAGAGCATGAGGAAGCAAAGGAAGTACTTAGAGACTTTTAAGAATCTTGGCTTTCCTATTCTGTATTAAGCAAGTACAATCTTTTCTGTATCTAAAATAAACTCCCCCAGCCTATGTACATATAGGGAACTCAAACAAGTTTGCAAGATTACTGGAGGTGCTTGGGGGAGAAGGGCAAACCCTCTCTTTTTTATTGCCAGGCAAACACATGCTCTTATCTTGTGATGAGCGTTATCATCCTGCAGACAGGCAGTCATGAGACCCTGCACAAAGCAAGTTGCTAAGGAAAGGCAGATTGCCAATCTATTTGCAGCTACTGAGGCCGCACACTTCTTTGGAGAAGGCACTGAGGGTTCTCCTGAAGGAATAAAACATGGAAGACTTTGCCCAGCGTGCCTATAGTGCCTATTGTATATGAAGGATTTCCAACTGCTGTGAAGAAAAGGCCCCTTTGTGTGGATTTGATGGGCTGAAAATGAAGGCAAGGAGGAGTCTGAGATTCATTGTGTGTCTGCATTTGGTTTTAACCTASACCATCTCCTATTTGGCAAACCAAGAGGAAACAACAGAAGAAGCTAGTGTACTAAGTATTAACACTTCCTCCCACCCACATAGTACGGACTCCATCCCTTACACTCAGAGCTTAAGTGCCCAGGCAATGTCATCCTTTCTTTTTTTAACCCTTTCCCTGACTGGTGCATGAAAAGTCTGTTTCTACAGACTGCAAAAATAAAGAATTGAAGTGACCACCAGAAAATACTTAGTGTGTTTGCTCTGCTTTCTGGCAGGGTCACTAGAGCTGTGTCCTCGGAGAACAATCATCTGAACTTTTCCTTGAAAACTCCACGAATGGGTATTGCCCAGCTTCTGCAGAAAACCTCTTTCAGTGCATACCCATTATTTTGCGGTTTGATGGTTGAAATTAATGTTTAAACTAAATCTCTCGTGATGCAAATCGGTCCAGTGACTCCTTGCCCCATCACTGGTGTTCTTTTTATACCCAATCTTTTACATTACTGTTATATCTCCCTAAATCTGCTCTTTTCTTAATTACATAAATCCAAACTATTCAAGACTTTATTCTAGTCTGTATTTTCCAAATCCTTTATGCTACTTTTTTACTTGAAATCAGACCAGTTTGTATATGTCATATGGTGGTACTCCAACCAGACCATAGCACTTCAGCTGAAATCTTAGGAATGTCTATAGACATTACCTCTATTAATCTAGAGGTAGTGATAAGTACCTCCATATTAATAGTATAATAGATTACTTCTAATCTGTTGTATTAGTAGTGTAATAGATTACCTCTGCTTTTACATAGATTGTACTTTCACTGCAACCTGAGACATTGCCAGCCTTTTTTCCTGGGAATTCCAGTGAATTCCCAGAAATCCTTTATGACAGTAATATCCCAGGATTTAGCTCACTAAGCTAAATGTTTGAAGTTCAGAGCTTTCACATGCAGGTTAAATAGCAAACAGAAACTGAGGAAGTAAGATCTTGGAATTATGTGCCAGGTTTCTGCATCGGACTGGACAAGATTCAGTGCAATATTGATTAATTCTGTGGGGTTTTCTTTTAGATCCAGCACTCTGAAATAACTCTAATAATCACAGGTTTACTACGGAAGAATTGAAAGTTTGGATTAACGCTTGTATTACTGAAAGCAAAGCATATGCTGGCTACAGGTGAAATCTGTTAGCAGTTGGTTTTCTGTTTGCACAATCAGTGTTGTTTGTGTGAGATAACAAGAGAACAAGATAATGTAGAGCACATTAAAAAAAAGAATGTTTCCAGAGAACCGTTCTATTATCCATGCTTAGCATGCTTATTATGCTCTCTTGTCTCCTCAAACATCTCCTCAATTTGTTTCCCAAGTATTTCGCAAAGATATTATGTAATACAGAGTTTAAGACTTAGAGAAAAACTTTTGGGACATTTTTTTCCCCTTTAGATTTTCTAGGATTACTTTGCATTAAGAGAACAAATATTTTTMATTCTACTGTTCTTTCTGGTTTCGTAGTGTCAATCTGGTTCTTAAAAAGAGAAATATTTGTCAATCACATTGCTCATCACTGAAGTCGAAGATGGATAGAAGCAGAACCATGTAATCAGACTGTAGTCACCAAATTAGTACAATAGCTGACAACATTATATTGTCATTGACCATTCTGCAGTATATGCTGTTCTTAGGGAAGTGTTTTTTAAGCCTCCGAGACAGTATTTTGGCTTCCATGACTGACATTAACATTTTATACATTTTATTTAAAAATCGAAATGAGTTTTTAGATGCAAGAAAGTTATTTTTCCCCTTCTTCAACTCAAACTAAATCTTCRAATTTAATTTAGGTAATGGCATGATTGCCAAACTGTGAGAAAATTTTCTTATAACTACTGATATTATTATTCATATAGGATGTTCTGTTACCTCTTTTCCCAGGGCCCTTTCTCAGGATGATCAAGATGATACTCACTTAAGAATAGAGGATATCATTCAGATGGTAAGTTCATCTTGAAATTTATACATAAATATTTCTGTAGATTTGTGGTATGTTTATGCTGCTAAAGTGTACCACAACTGTAACTTTGTGACTGAAAATACAGAAATACTGCTCTTTTATAGTAGGAATGTGCAATATTCTTTGATATTAAGAGACATCTATAAGTCTTCTTATTTTTTTGCAGTCAGAATGTCCCAAACCAGAATGCTTTGAGACTTTGTCAGCCATGGAGCTTGCAGAGCAAATAACTCTTTTAGATCACATAGTTTTCAGAAGCATACCCTATGAGTAAGTGTTCTCCTACGATTGATTGAAGTGAGTACTTTGGTTGAGTTACTGACTGGAAGTTTTAGCCACTACACTAATTTATGTTACTGATGTTCAGGCAAAATGGTTGGCGTACAAAGCAGAAAAATGTCCTTCGGCTGCTTTTGTCATTGCTTATGATCTTTCATAATCTGACTGTGTTTTGAAAGACAATTCATTCAGTCTGTTGCCAAAAATAAAATAAAATCAARTCTGTGGTCTAAGGCTCTGGGCTAGTGATGGGTGAACATAGTAGGGAGGTGCTGAGTCTCTGCAGAGGGGATGTCAAACCAACTTCACTCCTCCCGAAGTTTGCCATTAATATAACCATGTAAGCTGACAGAAACAATTTAAAATTAGGTCACAACRCTGAACATTAAGATGGGGAAACTGGAAAAGGGATGCAGCAAAGTTCTTTATAACATTTACTGCTTTGGACAGAATTAGTAATGGTAGAGTGAAATTTTGGAATTAGTTTATAGCTCTATTATTAGTTTTTAAGAGAATAAAATTTACTTGAAAATCAATTAGGCCGCAGTTACAGTCAGAGCCTCTTTGTCCTGTGCTTGCTAGTGACATTTTTGTTTGTTTGCCCTCAATTTTTAGAGAGTTTCTTGGTCAAGGCTGGATGAAACTGGATAAAAATGAGAGAACACCCTATATTATGAAAACTAGTCAACATTTTAAYGATGTAAGTACTCACAGAAATATAGATTGCCTATTAGACATTCTTGACACTTTCTATGACCTATGGAATGTAAATGTCTTTTTGTACAATGTAATACAATTTCTTACCTAGTCGTGACTGAATGTTACAACCTTTTCGTGACTGACCTTTTAAATCAAAGTATATAAAGATTCCCATTTTATGAATTGCCGCTCAGCAATTCAATGGTAATTTAATAGACTAGAATCTTTCAAGTTATATTAAAATGACTTACTGCTTACAGAAGAAATTAAGTTCTTCAGAGACTAAATATATAAAGCCTATTTTGTTTAATGAATGCCCTTTGAATCTCCATCCCTATGTTTGCTCTTTACTCATTTTACTTGRATTTTGCTGAGAGACTTTATAATCAGAGTTAGCACTGTTGGCTTGGAGACGTTCCCCAGTGCTTCTTGATACCCATTTTTATATCATAATTCTCTCTCACTGCCCTGCAACACTGTTCTCAACACAGGTTTTCTAGTTTTATTAAAAGCCATAAATTCTGCTGTCTGTTATTTTATTAGTGTTATTTTCTGCTTTGTTCTTTAAATAATGATGTTTTGAAAATGTTTATGTTTGAATATCATAATCTACTTCTTTATTTGGCCAGATGAGTAACCTTGTTGCCTCTCAAATCATGAATTATGCCGATGTCAGCTCCCGGGCTAACTCCATTGAGAAGTGGGTAGCAGTAGCAGATATTTGTAGATGTATGCACAATTATAACGGTGTGTTAGAAATCACGTCGGCCTTGAACAGAAGTGCAATCTACAGACTGAAGAAAACGTGGGCTAAAGTATCCAAGCAGGTAGGAAAGACATGATTAGTAATGTAGATTTCATTGATAAGCGTGTTGTCCAGAGATAAAGGTGTTGAGATAAATATTCTTCCTATAAATAGTTCTATTTTGAAAATGYTCTGTTTGTTGACAGCATCAACTGCTGCTGGCATTTCACATCAAGGTATTTTGTATTAAATGTATCTATTTTTTCTTTATCATTAATTAAATGTTAGTAAGAACAAACTGAATTCATTGCAAGGAGGAATGTCTAAGTCTAAGGCTTGAGCTTAAAATATTGAAATATCTGAGAAAAAAATGTTGTTAGATACGTTTGGATATATACATTTAAGTAGTGACTAGTTTCATTAACTGTAGTCAYCTCGGCAGCTTGAAGTAGGAGCCTTATTCCCCTTTCTGTGCAGCATGTCAGTAAGGAGATCAGCTCTTCCTCTCAAGGTGCTGAGTTCTTTGCTGACCAGTAAGAAACCTTAGATGACCAGACCTCCTTCTCACTTAGGTCCTGAGTTTAAATGCAGTGCATATCTCTTAATCCTTAGCTTGTACCTGAGACTGTCAGCAGCATGGTTGAGACTGCCAGGAGGATTTCCAGTAACAAAACAAAATCCTATTTGGAGACTATCCAATCTCTTATGTGTGTTTGGAAGGAACTGTTTAAAAGATAAATTTCAGCTGTCATTTTAAAATACATGAATATTTTCGTATGGTTAGAATAACAGAGCAATGGGGCCAGTAGGACAGAACAGTCGCTGGTAACGTGGGCAGGGTTTGGGTACAGAGTTACTGTGGCCAACTGGAAGATTGCAGTGAATCCCTTTCAGAGCAGCAGGATGGTGGGCTTCCATCACTTCATTTCCTCCTCTGGCTCTTCCTGCAGCTTCAGTGCTTGCAGAGTGCTCACAGAAATGAAATCTGCTCAGAATACATTCCGAGTCACTGTATTCTCTAGTCAAGCTTATCCTCAGGTGTTTTATAGCTGGTGCTGAGTGAATTACATCTTTTTGAAAATGTAATCCCAGCCATTGATGTGCAACAGCAATGACATTGGTAATGTGCTCTCTTTCTAGACAAAAGCTCTCATGGACAAGCTTCAGAAGACTGTATCCTCTGAAGGAAGATTTAAAAATCTTAGAGAAACACTGAAAAAGTATGCCTCCCTGCATGATAYCTTTGTGTTTTGTTATGGACTAGTACATGCTAAAGATGAGTTGGCTTTGAGTAAGCTTTAGTAATTAATATAATCTTAGATAATATTATTACCCAATAACTTTTTATGATCCAGTCTTACTCTGGAGTTGTTATTTTGCTTAATAACCTGTGATTTAGTACCTCTAAGAAATAAGTATAATGTCTCTGGAGAATTGCTGAAACAAATTATTATTTTGTGTGAATTGTGCCCAGTTAGAGGTTTTACTTACACAGATAAACTTTCTCACTAAGTGTAGGACCAGGTTTATAGGTAAAGGTTTGTTTTCAAAAATATCTTTGAGAGTTCGGCCTAATGATTCTGTAGAGTTATTGTTCCAGATGAAAAAAAWATATATTTTAAGAATATCCATGCATTAGATCAAAAAATTGTAAAAATAAATAAATTAATTAAAAAAATAGGATAAGACTACTTTAATAATAAAGAGTATGTGAGAGCTATAGAAATATTAATTTGTAAATTTTGCCATAGTCACATAGGCTAATTTCTTGTCCTACAGTTGTAACCCACCTGCAGTTCCCTACCTTGGAATGTACTTGACAGATCTAGCATTTATTGAGGAAGGAACACCAAACTTCACTGAAGAAGGCCTTGTCAATTTTTCCAAAATGAGAATGGTAATTTTCATTTTCTTATATGCTTTCCCCACAGGTGCTTAATTACATGACTTAACGATTGATTAAATTACAATTGCTTTGAATTTATCTTCTAAGACTTGCAAATACATTTGCAGCATACAAGAGACACAGTTATTTGAAAGCAATTACTTGAACCCAGTCTTCTATCACCACCTCCTGGTGTCCTGAGGAATTTTAGAGTGCAAATTTTGAAAAGTCACAGACACAAAAAGCAACTGCCCTAGGCTTGTTAAGGAGCAACAAGAGTTTTATTGAGAATGAAAATTCAGAGTGACTCACCAGAAGGTAGTACTGACAGTCTTTTTCAGTTGTGTCAGGTACTATGTAAAAAAGTGTGTTTTAAAGATTATTTTATACAATSTACAACTCCTCAGAGAGAAGCATGGAAGCTGCTCATCTTGATCTCAAGTTAATGCCTTTCTTAAGACTACATGCTACAACAGTCACTCAAGGAAAAGAGAAAAGTGGTTTTCAGGAGAGAGCCAGGAGAGCGCCTGCCTGAGATTGCCTCAGTAATAGATGGCCACTTTAGGAAAGTGAAACCATTTGAAGCAGTTAGGAGATTATCAGTGGATCTCCCTTCCTTCCTCCCAGGAAATGTTGCATAATTTGGTGAAAAATTCTTGACTTATGTGGTTTAATTGAACTCAAAATGCACTTGTACTTACTTAAGTGCATGCATTCTTTTGCTAGATCTCACATATTATCAGGGAAATACGCCAGTTCCAGCAGACCTCCTACCGCATAGAGTATCAGCAGAAGGTAAGAGTCTTCTTGCAAACTGTTCAGTATTAATGAAGGAAAGCTGCTGCAGCAAAATTAGTTGCAAGATGCAGCCATTATTGAAAGTAAAAATTRATGTATTCTGCACAGATGCAGCCAGGGCAGAGTGAAATGTGGTTAGGGACTTCTGTGTTGTAAGAACCTGATGGTAGAAACTGTTTTCTCAGCACTGTATGTAGAAACAATTTTTTTCCCCCTTCTCTGGGGGATTTGAACCAGTGTGGCTGTGGTCTATAAGGGGTTGGGTCTCCCAAAGGAAATGTGCACTCCCTGATCAGGTTAAAGCATAATTCCACAGGAGATGCCTAAATACTGGGTTTAGGGGAGAGGAGGTGGCCCAAGCTTCAGCTGATGCTGTATGCATCCTGCAGTTCTTTTCCCTTTATCCTCTCTGGGAGCTGTGGGAATTGGTACCTTGAAAGAATTCTTTTCGTCCCAGGGTCTAGAAGAGCAGCATGGGACTAGGTAATTTAGCTAAGGTTTTGCCCTTGCCTAAGGGACTTTACTTGGTTCTTAGGACGGTACTGGAATTCATTTTTACACCATTCAAATGCGCTTTTTCTGTTTCTCTGCGAAAACACAACTTGAGAGGATCTCAAACAGCCTCTGGAGCGGGCTGAGGGGAGACAGGAAAGCTAAGGAATTTACTTGAAAATAGCATACCGTCCATTCAGCTGTGTTTTCTGTGCTGCAGGTCACTCACTATTTACTTGACAAGACTCTCATCATAGATGAAGATACTTTGTATGAACTCTCCCTAAAGATTGAACCCAGACTCCCTGCCTGAAGAGCCAGCTTTGCCTCAGAGTCTACAGAAAGCTTTAGAATAATGAACAGAGTTATGCATGCCAAGACCTAAAGACAGCAAGGGAAAAATTGAGAAGAATGCGAGCTCTCTTTTCCGATGAGAGACACAGAGCCTCACAGCATTACCCTCTCAGGCAAGGAAAACCAGCTTTTGGAGGTGGAAGATAAAGATGCTTCGTGTCTGGGTTAAGTGATTGCTGCTTTGCAGTGATAGCGTTTTGCCATAGGGAGTATGCATCTAATTGAAAACAGGAGGCTTTCATGTGCACAGGTACTCATTGTAGTCCTCTTAATGGGACAAATTAAGGGGACAAATGTAAAAGGTAGTATCATATTCAGTTCTGTTCAGATGAATGGGCAAAATGAGGTGGCACTGATGTGGCTTGAGTTGATTGCTAACTAGGCATTCACTGAGGCAGTAGTGATAGGGGTGTCCTCAAATCATGTTATAATTGCTGGAAAAATAGGATCTTGAGAGTCATCTGTTAGTCTGGAGAGGCATCAGGGTAACTTCAGTTCTGTATTCAAGACATTTGTTATATAGCTAATGCTTCCCTTTATAAAATGTTACCTTCTTTAAATGTCTTTTCTAAGATAACAGATTTCACAAACAAATGAACTAATATTTGTAAATATTTTTCATTAATATGCAATGAGAATATTTACAGCATGGAAAGTAAGTGAACCATAGTTGAATAGTTGTAAATAGTTGCCAGCTTTGCAAGCTTCAGATGGGAAATACGAGGTAAGGAGCTGTTCCTCAGACTGGAGGAATCTGAATGTAAAGTGAATGGGATGGTTACTCATGTTGCACACAGCCCTGGAAAAGGCACTTTAATTTCCTGCACCTGCAGCTTCCCTGGAAAGTCAGGCTACAGAGCACTTTCTGGACACACTGTTGAGAGGAAATGAATTCTGGTCTGGCAGTGGGTAGTGATCAGCAGTGAACACTAGGAGTCAGAATGACTGTTTCGTTTTACATGAAATTAATGATTTAGAAGATACCTGGGTTTTGCTCAGTCGTTCAGCACTGACTCGGCTCTCTTACAGCAGGACAAGCTTTGATGCGTGCAAACACAAGCGGAAAATTTTTATTTGAACTAGTAATATATATATAATATACATATGCTTAAGAAAACATGCTGCTTGTAAGTGTTATAAAGCCTATGCTTTTGTGAGAAACCAGGTAGATAGATTTCATTTCTACAGCTAGTTGGTACTTCCTAAAATTTCCTGATCAAAGTGGCCTGTTGTAGCTGCATGGAAAACGAGCTCAAATGCATGCTATAAAGTACATCATAAAATAAAATGCAGGTATTAGCACTGTTGAATAACTTGGCTGGAAAAGTGACCTTACTTTTCCAATGATAATCAGCCAGTTGAAGAAATAGGGCTATATCACTGTTTACCTCCCTTAAATCTCTCAGGGAGATAGATGTTTCACACAGATTGTGACCTGGGCCTATTTGATCTGACATTTCTTACCACAGTCATGATGCTTCTTAGTGMTAACAATGAAAAATGAATCTGCCTGGCTTGTGGTTTTCGTCTTTGCACTTTAATTACATTGCTAGCYCAGCCAAGAGTTGCACAGTAAATTCCATTTGTTCTGTCTGAGTGTAAATGCTAGCATTTATGAATGCACCTTAGCAACTGTAAATTTCATTAAGGTTCCTCATCACAAGGACCATCTGTTTGTAAATAAGTGCATGGGTAAACTTCACCAATACTGGAAAATTCCTCAATTAGAAAAGCAGACAGYATCAAAAAAGGAAATTCCAGAAACATTTTAAATAGTACTAATTAATACTGCAGAAGTGGATATGGAAAATATTATTTATGAGAGCTTTTGATTTTCAAAAACTTGCTTGTTCTTTTCATTGTTATCTGCCAGGAAGCTGATTGCATCCCAGTGCATGATTAAAAGAAAAGCATGGTGTATTTGGATCGCAGAACCTACTTACTGTGTAATTTCTGTACAAAAGCTGTTACCAGGTATGAGATGCATAAAATGCATTAAGATCATGAAGAAACAGAGGAAAAAAAATGTGTGGTCCAAAAAGTGAGTTCTTATCTTGGTTTTATTGTTTCTATGTTAACAACAAAAAATGTAGAACTGTTCATGTCTTAACTGGCATCTCTGTTATATGCTATTAACTGCTGCTTTATCTTCCTGTATCCCACTTTACCAAACTCTCTTGCAGTTCTTAGGGTTACAGGATGCAATTGTTCATCTTTCTTATTACACAGTCAGTTTGTTGGTTTGTACTTTCTGTGCACATACTGGTTCTTCAGAGTTTGAAAACGTTCAGTGCATTAGATGACCCATGTAAGGGTAATGCTGGACTCTTGCTACTGTGTTACTGATGGAGAGATGGAAAGACTACGAATGATTGTTTTTTTTTCATATGTGCTATATATTTCTACTTCAAACAATAGACAATGTTCAGCCCTTTAGGGGAAACATACCTGGTTTTATGCCAAAAAGCTACATTGGCTCTGTGGCAGAATTTGTGTTAGAATTGCCAGAGTAACTAGATAGCTTGTGATCAGAATGATGGTAACAAAACGCTGTGGCCACACTAACCTGCTTGGTTTGCTGGTGGCTGTCATGTTACTCTGCTTGGGACATCCCTGGACACGCTCATGCAGGGTGAGAGCTGCCTTCACACCGTGTCTCCCACCCTTGTTAAGCTCCTCAACCCTGATTAGACTCAAGGGTGTTGGCTGTGGCTCTCCATCAGGGAGCAGCCCGAGCCCATGGCTAGTCACAAAGGGGAAGGAAATGAATCTCCTGAAGTTACCATTGCAGTAAGTGTCTGCTGCCGCTTCTGCCCTGTCAGCCAGCCCTGTAACACAYAAACGTGTAGGGTAACAGTGAGCGATTCTACGGATCGTTGAAAAGTAAGAAAAACACCCATGTTCCCTCTGTTTTCCAATTCCTTAATACTGTTCATTGGATTTTTAGGATAAAAAAGAGCATAACTCTTTAAATAAAGTATTTATTAACTTCAGTCACTTTGGTTTTGATTTCAGGACAATGTTAATTATCTGAAGTTTTCTTTAATGATTATTATTTATTTTAAGAGTTTTTTTTTAAAAAAAATGATTTATGTGGATATTTAGTCTTTCCTTCTTTCACTGCTATCAACCATATTAAACACAGATCTGTGATTTACAATTCTCACTGATAGAGACATTTAAACCAAGTCAAAATCGATATTAATTAAGGGCCAAATTCTTCAGTCCTCATTCCGATAATACCTTGGGCTTCACCGAAAGCTTTCCATGAGTAAAGACTTGGCAATTTGGCTCTGGACTGGTTGCCTGTCACAGGTTTTGCTTCCAAAGGACAAATGTCTCTGTATGATGTTCCATGTCCAACATGCTGCTCACCTATGATTGTTTTGTTGTACTTCTGTAATAGTCTTTAAAATTTTATTCTTTAGGTGAACAGATGTGTGTTTATTTGACAGATGTACTTATATCTAACTCACTGCTCTAGTGCACATCCAGATGTTTTTTTGCATGTGTTGTAACTTATCTTTTGACCTGAGGTTATTGCTTTGTATTGTTTGTAAGGCATATCAGGCAGGGTGTTATGCCTGTATGCTAATTAAACTTTTTTTTTCTGAATTTCAAGAATTCTTAATTGCTTCTGTTTTTTTTTTTTTTTTTTTTTTTACGGGTGAGTAAATGTTGGATTTGTAGCTCACTTTTTCCAATTTATTGAGTCTTTTAGAGGTACGTGGAGGGGAAAGGGAAAAACTATTAACAGGAAAGGCAGAAGAAAATAAATTTCTGATTGCACCTAATGCTAGAGTATAGTTACTTCCTACATTTTATCCTTTACTCATGCATGCTGCTTTGAAACTTCTGTGAGTAACACCAGAATCAATGCTGATTTGTATTTAAAATGGAGAGTAAAGCCTTCTTGATATGCAAATAGAAATGCTGAGATTCATTGCAAAGTGTACAAAACAAATACCTAAATAAAACATCTAACACAGGTCATCAGAGATTGGTACATAGTTCGTCCTTCTTGGTGGTCCAAAAATTATGCTAAGGAAAGCTTGTAGGAAGTTACAAGAAGGTAGAAAAAGGTAGAGTTTAAACAATATTTCATAAGGTGTTTAATGACTTCCTATTTCAATAGACTGCTACTTTAAATGAAAGGCAATGGTTACACTAGAAGGAAAATAATGTACCTTTTTTTTTGTCTAAACACCCCTAGCCCCCTCCTAGTTGTTCTGCTCTAAATTTAAAGAAAGGTAATGTAATTTCCTCATTTGCTTTCCTATATCATTCTTTGGCAAGAATTAAGAACCAATACTTACAGATTCATGCATATGCCATTTTTTCTTATTCCCTTCACAGTTGCTTTCTTTGGATTATCAACTTCAGAGGCAGTTCAGTAACTCTAGGACTCTCTGATCTTAAATGTGGTGGAATGAGTCTCCTTCCAATGAAACTAGTTCATGTTTTTAATAAGAGACAGCCAAGTAAGTACAGAAGACATTGTAGATTAGTAAGTATGGTACGTCCCTTCTCTCCTGATAGGAAGACAAAGCACACCTAGGTAAAATACCTTGCACATTGATACAAAGGTTTAAGAGTACAAAAGCAGATCTCTGGCTTTTGTTAAGTGCATTAATCATCAAGTTTGCTACTTTCCTTTGTTGAAGAGGTTAGGTTGTAAGAGAATTTAAAAGTGTCTGTTTGTTTGATTTTTATTACCAAGAATGAACATACTTTAAATAACTAAACAGCAATAGCACACGAGCYCTGTGGAGGGGTGACATGTCAGAACCTATCAGGTGTTTTGTGACCTTGCAATCACATTTTCTGCATTTTTTTTTYCATTTTTTAATATGTCACATAAATGAAACTGACTAAAGGAACTTTTGAAGTTCATATTTCTTTTCCGTGAAAAAAAAATCCAACTACCTGCCAGGCTGTTTCATATAAAAGTATTGACTGTTCCAGGATGGTTTTCTCTTCAAGTTGTTTTCCCACATTTTACCATATTATTAACCTTTCATAAGGCAGTTGATCAGCTTCATCTCTTCCCTTTAATGCCATCATCATGGACTCTTATTTAACCTAGCAGAAGAATTTTGTTTTCTGTATTTTACTGTTTTACAAGCAAGCAACCACAAAACAGTCTGCAAAACAGTCAGATCTCCTTGCAGGAAAGCTGACAGCAGACAGCMGTTTTTAATCTGGCTTATGAGGAAAGAGAGGGGAGCTAGCTGGAACATGCTGTTTGAAGCCCTCCACTTTGTGAAGAGAAAATTGAGATCAGTCTTGATGGATTGTACAAAGGTAATGACCCAGAGTTGTTAAGACTGCCTTGAAAGTTGTGTTTGATTGTGTTGGTCCTATCCACGTATAACCAAGAAGCACCTTTGAGAAAGGCAGATTTCTGCATGAGATTTCCATCTCGTAAGGATACTGAAGAAAAAAGTCAGTGTTCATTACAGTTCTCTGG